ACGCTTGGTAAAGCGACTATACTGTCTAAGCATCAGACTACGTGTAGGATGAATTTTAAGACGGAAGCCCCAAAACAAAGTCACCCATTCGTGTCTGCTTCCTTACGTGGCGTCTTGGTTGAACGAGGCGCATCCAAACCGGACGGCCGGTCCGTCCGGTCCACCAGGCCCGCTGGCACCCACTGCTGACTCCATCCCGATTCCCAGCGACCTCCTTCCCTCCCTCCGCCGTGGATTGGAGGCCTGGGATCGGCAGGGCCTCCTCGCCCCCGGACGGCCGGTCCGTCCGGTCCACCAGGCCCGCTGGCACCCACTGCTGACTCCATCCCGATTCCCAGCGACCTCCTTCCCTCCCTCCGCCGTGGATTGGAGGCCTGGGATCGGCAGCACCTCTTCGCTCGATGTTGGCGGAAGACGACTCCAATGTGGCAGAAAAGTGAACCAGGAATTGTACGTGTAAGTTCTGAAACAAAGTTGAAAGTTTTCTCCGTTGGAAAAATGTTGAAATTCTGTTTCAGTCCCGATGTTATCCGAGAACGGTTTTCGGACCTTCCAGAAAAAGAAGGGCGGAAAAGAAGCAAAACAAGAACAGCTGACTGCAGACGTCACAAGTCCGCCTCTTTGGATTGGTTTGTCGTGGAACAGGTTGTTATTGGCTAGGATTATGATTGGGCAGACCTGAAGTAGTGTGTTTTCATTGGCTACCTAGCGGTAGAGGGCATGTTTTTGTCAACCCATTCACGAGATGCAGCTGCATTTCTCCAGCACAGGCAAGACGTTCCTAGCAAATTTTGTTTTCCAAAACAGAAAAAAATAAACGAGAATCATATTCCTATAAACGAAACGTCATTTAAATGTTTGGACGCACGCCTTATCATTTGTTTGTGGCAGGGTCCGGTGTTTGTGTGTTGTGACGTCACTAAAATTGAAAGATCAAACAAACGATGACTGTTCAAATTCACCGCATTACGTCACCGTCGGCGCGTCTCAACCGCACGAGAGATTCCAAATTCTCGAAAGACAATTCGCAGGCTAGGTCCTTCGATACCTTCAAAGGTACCCCCTTATCTGACCCCAGTGGCGAATTTGTACCGGCTTAACCTGAATTTGGACACCACTTGCGGTCTAGTCGCGCCAGAAGTGACGTCATGTAGCCGAAAATGCTGTCTTCTTCGGACCCAGGCTGTGAATTTAGAAACAACATTTGCCAATTAAAACACAGTGATCTGTATGGATTAATGAACCGCCATTTACAGTAACATCTCCCATTCAGTGTTCAATGTAACGTTTGGCCTTTACCTGAAAATTCCAGGAGATCTCTCTATCCCAAACAAAAATTGGTACCAGATTGGAAAGAATAAAACGACAGTGTTTGCAAATGAGGTTGGGATTAATTTTATCATTTGACATCAAATACATTATTCTGCTAATAAGAGAAATGATCGTTGTCAGGACAGGACAAACCTCTTGTAGAATGGCTAATAATGAAACATAACTCTTCGGTGTAAACAAATTCAGACATTGTACATAATGGTTTGTCTCATCTGCTGGTCTACTGTTTAATGTTAGCTGGTAATGTGCAGTTGTCATTGTGATGCTTGGTGACAGAGGAACAAACTCACAGCATTACTTTTCTTGGGTCACCTATGAAACACTTTCCATTATTACTCATTTTTTTCATCGTCAAATTGTTTTTTTCTTTGTGCGTGCTCTGATCCATATATTCATACAGTCTTGTTTTGATGCTCTTGACCTATTTTCACCAAGCCTGCTAGTAGGCCGATGCCCCTCGTGTCATTACAATGACTTTTAAAATTAGTTTCGTTGATACAGAGTATAGACCAACATCAACTGTTTGTCGGAGGTGGGGCCCATCTACCAGCGCAGCTCAGCACAGAAAAAGCGGGGGAGTGGAAGGGAGAGATTAGTGGAGGAGGGCAGTTGAAAGGAGTCTCAGTGGTGAACAGGTCGCAAATTAATGGATGGAGAGAAACACTGTGAGGGGTTGCGAAATAACAACAACTGCACAATAATTTTTTTTTTCTTCTCACTCCAGCCGTACTGGCCAGTGCCTGCCTGATTACTGGCGCACAACTTATTAATACTGAGGCACTTGCCCTTATAAAAGGGGTCGGGCAATGCCCCTGGCTTGAAGACTGCAATCCTACTGCAGACCTAAATATGGAAATTGGATGCTCATAAGATTCCTGTGTGCTGTTTAAGTGCCCTTAAGTAGGAAACAGAACCCCCCACCCACCCACACAAACACACACACACACACACACACACATATACAAGCTGGGCCAGCCCAGGTCATTTGGGGGCCCGAGCAAAATAATGCCAACGGGCCCATATTTTTTGGTGCGCCATTTAGTCACAGTGTACTGTGCAACCCATACATGCAACCCATACACTCAGATTTCTCTTATTTGTCAGATATTTCTGCACTGTAAAATAATTCAAACTTTTCATCCCAACAGATTGTCAGTACTTACAGTAGATGGTGCCAAACCTCATTCTAAAATATGAAAAGAAAGATGTTGTGCTTTTGCTTTTTTTTTAATCATTTTTTGCTAATAAGTAAGTATCAAAACTCACATAAATATAAAAGTCAAATCATGGAAACTGTAAAAAAATTGAATATAATTAGAACTACGGTTCACAACCTACTCTATCCTCCTGACTACCAGGAAAAAAAATGTTGTCCAATCACATTTATTTTGACATTCCCCAATCTATGTGAAGTAATTGGACTCCTCCAAAAGAAATTTTTGAAAAATTTTTAAAACAACTCAAACAACACTTTAACGTGTTCATAAGAGTCTTATAATTAAAATGCCAACAGCATTTCAAGACAAAATGTGGTCGATAAAAAGTATTACTTTTCCTCTTCCCATAAAAAGTGCTTGCACTGAGGGAAGCCATTTTCTTTCTTTTTCTAACCCCTACAAATTTGGTATCATTGGAAAGCACTGAATGTCCTCTTTAGAGTAACAAAAGGAGTTAATGCGATTGGAGGCACTGGGTGGGAGATATTTAGGTTCACAAATGTCCTCTACAGAGGACAAATTTGAACTACTGGTAGTCAGGAGGCTATATAATCACAATCCAGAACAGTACAAGGTGAATAAAGTGAAAGAATTGAAATAAATATCACGTCATACAGTAAAAAAAAAGAAAATTACGGACTGTAAACTAAAACTTCAGTGCGTAAGAATTTTACATTGTTTGGTGGTTAGCGACTGAAACAAATGTATTGTTGAACAAGAAATCATGACTAAGCATACAGGTGAGAGCAGTTTCAAATCCAAACAAATGTAAAAAAATGCGGAAAGTATACTGCAGTACTTGAAGTCTCTGATGGTGTAGTGGTACACTTGCCTGACTTATGAGCAGGCAGCGTTGGATCGGTGCTGGAGTTTAGTGTCATCTAGCGGTGGATGAATAGAATGCAACACCCATAGCTCCAAGCGCGTGATTTGAAGCATGCCTACTACGGTGCCTCATAATAGAGATTAATTTCGCAAGCCTGCCACGAATATCTTCAGTAGATGTGCAAGCAAAATGTCATCCCAAACAACTTCTATTATTCCCTCAAGTGAAAAAGTAGGTTAATGGCATTTGTTACACATGCTGTTGGTATCATGTTGAACTACGTACGCAATTTTTTTCTGCTTTGGGTATTCGTAGCAGAAAGTTAGCTTGAATACATGCCAGCCTACTGTAGGGGAGGCACATCCTATGTAATATAATTAGCGATTACTTCACATACAATGACATAATTTTTTAAATGATTTGATAGAATATACATATATATATATTTTTTTTAAATATAATTTTTGCATACTTGAACCTTCTCCATTTGTACCTGAATGGTCCAAATGGAGAAGGTGCCCGACCTGGAGAGAGCACTCCACCCTTTTCTGACGACCATGGTCTCAAATTTGGAAGTGCTGATTTCCACCCCAACCGCAGAAGCAGAGCTGCAATACTGAGGTCACCAAACTGGACCCCCTCAACACCTCAGCTGCGGCAAGAAATTTGGTCAGGTTTGGTCAGACTCGGGTAAGGGGGGAACAAAGCCATTTACCAAAAAATAGGTGAGGTTGACACTTTATTTGCTTTTTATTTGCTTGTGGCGGACTGGATCTGCCCACAGGCCTTGAGTTTGACACCTCTGCATTCACAGTAATTAATAACATTTAAGGCCTGCTTACATGTATGTCTGCAGACTTGGCAGAGTGCTGAAGCCATGTTATGTGCGCCTCATTTGTGTGACCTTTAAAGAAATATTCTGTAACGAACTGTGGCACAAGTTGAGGTTAAATCCAAACTGTGGGGAAAAGGTTTTATGTAATCAACTTATTTCAAAGGTATTTTATTGAACAATGATGATACAGATAATTCTGGCAGTATTATCCAATATTCAAAATCAGTGACAGTATATCACTTTAATTTTGGTTATTTGCAGACGCAGTATAGTCAACAGCAGAGGTGTCTCACACGTACTCAGTGGTGGAACGAGACGCATCACCAGCAGCCTGCTTTTTGCCTCAGTGCTGCAAAACAAAAATACATGTTAGAATTCATCTCATTTGCTAATCGGGTGATGTCAGTAGTTAAATAACTTGATGTTGTTGTTGACACTAACTGCAGGCATTCAAATGAAACATCAACTGTGCATTCCTGAAAAAAAACAATCATTCAACAAACAATAGAAAAAGTCGGATAGAAATGGTTGACGGATATTTTTGTCTCTGTACAAAACTTCAATTTTCCTAATAGTAACAAAACTATACCATCATTAAAAAAAAAAAAAAAAAAATTCCACTTTCAGAACCCAGTGCATATAATGCTCAAACACATTCGTGGAAAGCATTAGAAATGTTTAACTGGTCTAGGCAAAGTCATTTAACTACACGCTACTCATCTACAGTGTGTACACATTTTGACATCACTTGTTTCATTTGACCTGGTTTTCTATTGTCATTTTGTCTATATTTTGTCCTTTTTCCAACGTGGTGCGTAGTGACTATTGCGTTATGTAATCAAGAGAAAACTGTGGCGACAAGTGATGTCCTGTTTGAATGCATACAAAACATTTTACTTCTCTTTATTCTTTATTTTCCAATGATATTTTGCCACATACAGTATACACTACCTTAAAATCCCACATAACCATGCTTCCATCCAGTCCCACACTGCTGTACATCTCCACTCTAGCTTTTCCCTTAACAGCACATAACTGCCTGCAAGATACAACAGATGTGCACAAAAGACATGTGAATGGGGATTTTATGTATGATTCCAAACAAGTAATGCGTGGTAATGATAATTATAACGGTACACATACAGGTACATGTGGATGAACATAAGCATATTCATACACTGTGTTCAAATCCAGATCAAAAATGTTTTTTTGTATTGTTTTTTTTTTTGTTTTTTTTTAAAGTCAAGGTTAATGAAATGGGAAACAGCAGTTCCTCTTACGTGATGCTGTTCTGGTGAAGGGTGTCTAACTCGTTTCTGTCTTCCTCGGTAGCCCTCTTATCCAGGTTACGGAAATGCTGCATGGCTGAAATGCCACTTTTGGATGATTGCTTGGGAATGTCTAGCTTCTTGACAAATCCCAGAGAGCCTGGTCCCTTATAGGTGAACTGGTAGGGACAACAGTCATGCCCCTAAGAGACATGATGCTGTTCTGGTGAAGGGTGTCTAACTCGTTTATATTGTGTTTAAACAACAGCCATTGTGTTAATGACGCAGTTTATAAGAAAAAGGTGAGTGTCTATTAGCAGAAGCTAAGCCATGAGTGTGGAAAAAAAAACCCGTATCGCTGATAAAAGCATTTTAACTTGTGATGGCAACATTTAGTGTGCTGATCTGTGCATATGATGCAAGCAAATGGACTATCGCCTTATTGAGACAAACTCCCTACTAAAATCCAGGGAGGTGAATTTCTTAGACTGGAATTAGCTGAAAAAAGCAAACCTATAAAGCTAAACAAAGCTTGAAGCAACAGTACAGTGGGAGTCCTCAGTCGGTGTTCTCTCATCAACCAAATTTTGGTCAAGTATGACACACACAGACACACAATTGCACTCATGGCAGGTCACTAATTACCGCGGCAACAATCTCCGTGGGGCTGACATATAGGATGCTCAGCAGTGGAAGACTGTCAATGGTCAGCTGTGTTGCCCTGGACAAACAAAGTGATCAACAAATAACAGTATGTCAACAGACAAATATGTTTACTGCACATTACTGCAACCAGCTGTTTACCAGCGGAATAGCAAAACACACACATTTCTGGTTAGGCTACAAGAAAATGTCGCAAGCTGATAGCTCCTGTCCTGTATTGAAAGTGAGTCTTTTATCTCAGTGGTACTTACTCCTTTCCCCGGGTAGCATCTGCCACAGTGATGCTGCTGTTGTGGGCCACCCAGGACAGCTGGTCTCCACTGGGGGAGAAGGAGACACTGTGAACCCAACCGCCACAGTCCTTATTCTCAAACATCACCTCCCCAAAAGGCATTTTGGCGCCCCAAGCAGTGGGTCCAGGCTTGTCCTCGATGTCCTTTATGTAGGCTGAGAAAATCCTAAAAAATCCAAGCAGAGTTTTGAGTTAAATTCCATTTTAATTTGATAAATTGGAAATACTTTCATTTTTTTAAAAAGCTATTTTCTCTACATTTTCCAGTACATAGAAAAAGTTCCATGCCCAAAATTATACATATAATTTCTTAATATGGGTACTGTTTAGTCCAAGATGGCGCCCGAGTAGGCAGCCATCGGCAAGTGCTCTCATGAGCCTTGCTTTTTTT